TTTAGGCCCTCACCTTACCAAGTTTGAAGGTTTTAGCCCCTCACTTATACTATGACACTTTTAGCCCCCCCACCTTACTAGATTTGTAGGTTTTAGCCTATCACCTTATATTATGATACTTTTAGCCCCTCACCTATTAAAATTGAAGAAAATAGCATTCACTTTGTAACATTTTGTTAGTTTTGTTAACTGATTATTAATTTTATTAGCTGACTGTTAGTTTTTTTTTTGATAAATCAAAATCAAATTTTATTAATAGAATGAGTACAAGGAGTACTCACCCATTAGATCAAGAAAATATACAACAGGTGGAAGGGAGTTAGGACTGGACTGCACATAGAATTGGAAACTGACACCAGTCACTTAAACAAAAACTAGCAAATTTCAAGGTTCCTTTAATCCAAGCAAAGGTCTTAACCTGCACTAAGTCTATAATATTATTCTCATCCCAAGAAAATTTGTTAAAAATAATACCATTTCTGCAGGACCAAATGGCCCAGGCTGTTGTAAAAATAGTGAGAGTCCAACACTGTCGTGCTTTCCTTGGGATCGGAAGTGAGCAAAGCTGGAGAAGTAGATGGGAGATGTTATTAGTATGGTTAACCGTCAGTCCCCACCAGCTGCATACACGGTTCCAAAGACTTTGAGAAAATTTGCACTTTGCAAAGACATGGTTTGCATCTTCCATATAATTATCACATAGAACGCATGTTGGGCTGGATACTAGATGAATGCCATGTTGTATGAGTTTATCCTTGGTGGGGAGGCGGTTTAAAAAGAGGCGCCAGGCAAAGACACTAACTTTAGCAGGCATCAATGGATTCCATATTAACTTGCAAATGTTCTCATCAAGGCAGGGAAGAGACACATCAAGAAACAAGTATGCCATTTTTGCAGAATATCCTGAGGGGCAGTGCTTCCAAATTTTTCTATCTGCCTTGCCTTCAATTAAAATAGCACTTCGAAGAATGTCTTCTAATATCTCGAGTTCATCCAGTTCTCTTCCAAAAGGGGATCTACGCCATTGAAGATTCCAGCCCTCTCTATTGGTTGGTTTCAAATCAGCAACTGTCAATTCCTTGTCCAAAGTGAGGCTAAACAGACGGGGGAATTCATGCTTTAAAGGAGAGCTTTCCAGCCAAATATCCTTCCAAAAGCTGGTTTTAGAGCCATCACCAAGCTGATGTGTGAAGCCATTTGAAAAGCACATGGTCGCTCTATCGGATACCTTGTCAATAGATAAAATATCCTTCCAAAGAGAAGATAATCTTGAAGACATCGTGTTATAGATAAGATTTGATGTAGAACCAGCATAGTATTTACTAATAACAATCTTAGCTGACTGTTAGTTGACTGTTAGCTGACAAAAATCATTTTTTTAGCTAACAGAACTAATTTTATAATATTTCGTTTATCATGTTAATTGACTATTAGTTGACTATTAATTGACAAAAACTTACTTTCAGTTAGTAGAGTTAACAGTCAGTATAAAGTAAGGGTTATTTTCTTCAATTTTAATAGGTGAGGGACTAAACCTACAAATCTAGTAAGGTGAGAAATTAAAAGTGTAATAGTATAAGATGAGGGGCTAAAACTTTCAAACTTGGTAAGATGAGGAGCTAAGAGTAGGTTTTTGCCCAAAAAATTTGGCCATGTCATCAACTTTTACCAAATGAATTTTTTCACGTAATTTAAGTAAAGAAAATAAATTAAAATTTTTCGTTAATTAACATGCTATATTAACCAAAACTTAACGGAAGGATTAAAAGTGGTCGGATTTTAAATTTTAGGGATTAAAAAGGAGATTTTTTTAGTACAATGACCAAAAAAGGGCATTTTTGCATAGTAAAGGGATCAAAAAGGGTATTTAACCTTATAATTATAACATTACCGTTAGTTTTTTTTTTATTAATTAATAATGAAGTTTAAGATTCTAGTCTTGTTTAATTAATATGTTAAGTTTATAATATTAATTAAGTGAATTAAAAAGAATAATATGTTAGTTTTGATAAATTGTATTCTAACCTATTTAGGGCTCATTTGACTAAATTTAATTGTTGAGGGATTGACTTAGGACTTAATTAAATAGAATTGAAAATTTATTGGTTAAGAGGTAATTATATTGGACAGCGTGGGGTGTATACAATACCACGTCATTAAAAAAAAGAGAGTTAATGGCCAGTGACTAAATTTATAAATTTGAATGATGAGTGATTAAGATGAAAGTTATAGTTTAGTGAAAACAGGTGTAATTTACCCATTAAAAAAAATAAATAAGTAATGAAAAGAGAGAGAGAGAGAGAGAGAGAGAGAGAGAGAGAGAGAGAGAGAGATATGTCTGGGGTTCTTGCTTTTTTCCATTTTGGCAGTCATTTTCAAGTAAATTTCTTCTGCATTTCATGGACATCATTACTTGGCTTCATCCTCGATCAAACATTATGAAAGAATCATTTGACCCAAACAACGACTTGACCAGCTGCATATCTATCATGGATTTAATTACTAAAAAACCAAATATATTCTAGATAAAAATAAAAATAAATCATTAAATCTTGATGAGAAGGAACCAAGCTGAATTTCATAATTAAATTTTCTGTTCAAATTGATTGTAAAATATTTTTTAACTAACTATCCATTCATCAAGGATGGGCAAGTTTCTTGCCAAAGTCAACTAGGTCCAATTGCAAGACCAATCTGCTTAAGTTTGATTATGTACAAGCTTATGATTACATTATAACTAAACAAGAGTTTAGAAGAGATTGAAACTGACTAACTATAAAGCCCGTTTTGATATTATCATTAGAAAAAAAAAATTTTATCTTAATTACGCAATAGAAGGCAATTATATTTTATTTTTTATCTCATATGATCTGCATATCGTGTGATTTGAACTCAGTACCTCTTATTTTCAACGGAAAGAAATGACCACTAAATTATTTAAGTCATTGATGATATTAACATTGGAAATTTAAATTTCTATATATAATATATACTAGATGATTAACATTGTCAAAACTAAAAAAGAACAAAATTATTATATAAAACATCCCAATGTGTCAGAGTTTGGCTTCACATAACAACTTCGTGAAAAAAAAAAAAAAAAGAAAAAAAAAAAGAGGAAAGAAACCCATGATTAGAGATCTGGAATGACAGCTGAAATTTCGGTGAAGCACAAGTAAAATGAAGTTCAGCCGTCCGCCCCACTTCCTCCCATTTGGGTCCTTGGAAAGTCAATCTGAATCTGCGTGGACTTTTGTGACCGCATAGTTAATCTTGCTTCATTATCAATAAGAATCATAAAACAACTTTCTCTTTAAAGAGTAGTTTAATTGATTAAAAATATAAGATTTTAAATTAAAAAATTTAAATTTAAATTTTGAATTGAATGAAAAAAGATTAAAAAAAAGAATATCTCTTTTTTATATAACTTATTATCATATATACTAAAAATAAAAATCATAAAACAATTTTTTCCAATTTCATGACTA